AGGTTTAAAGTCTTTTATAATTGAAAATTAGTTCTTATAATAGGTATGAGTCCACCCCTGAAGACCTACACCCCCAAGACCTACACCCTGAGGACCTACACCCTGAAGACCTACTGACCCTGAAGACCTACACCCTAAAGACCTATTTACCCTGAGGACCTACAACTTTTTGATCAACACAATTTTTACTTTTTATTTCTTTATAAGTCTAATCGGGGGATTTAAAGGAGGTAAAGAGGAGCTAGGAGGGATTAAGAGGGATATTGATAGATTTGAAAGTTTTAATGGGGATAAAAGGGGATTAAGGGGATATCGAGGACTTTGAGGTTTTAAAGTGGATAGAGGGATTTATCGGGATAAGGAGGATCTTCTGATATCCTCGATATTCACTACTATAAATAATTTGAGTTGATCAAAAAGTTGTAGGTCTTCAGGGTAAATAGGTCTTCAGGGTGTAGGTCTTCAGGGTCAGTAGGTCTTCAGGGTGTAGGTCCTCAGGGTGTAGGTCCTCAGGGTGTAGGTCTTGGGGGTGTAGGTCTTCAGGGTTGACCCCATAGGTATTATAATGAAATTTCTTAGCACCGAACGCCAAAAAATGTGAGAATTTCCGAGGCCGAAAAATTCATTTTTTTTTCTTCCTCCGAAAATTTCGCATTCCCATTTCAGGAGGGGTGGGGAAATTCAGTCCCCCTGGCTACGGCCTGATATCTAGAAAAACTTGGATATGAGAAATTTGCCTTTTTGATGAAGGATTCCTCTGAAAACCCCTAAAATAAATTTTCCTTTTAGTCTTCAACTTGTTTCTTTTAAACGTTTTAAATCTATTGCCGAAGCGGTGAATAATGCAACAAATATATCTGAAGGAAAGCTGAGCAAATCACTCAAACGAATCCTTAAAAAATCAGTGGAGGAGGAAGGTGAGAAGTTGGCCGTTGCTGATACACAATTGGGGACGTTGATAAAGGTTTTTAATTTTATTGTTTTTGTTTATTCCTTTATTAAAATTGAGTTATTTTTCGGAAATTTTCGTCATATCACCTAGCTCCGATTCGGACAAACAATATGTTATCGAAAGAGCTCGGTGAGCGACACCAAAATTAGATTCGGGACTCAATTGGGAGCCGACTGCTTGGTTCCACTTTGTGGTTTTCCGATTTTATGCGGTATATCTCAACCCATAGGTGACTTCTAATTTTGGTGTCGTTCGACTCAACTCGCCGAGCTCTTTCAAATAGAAATCTTTGTCTGAACCGAAGTCTGGATGATACGACGGAATTTTAACAATTTTCTAAATAAATAGAGATATTGGCTTCTTGTTTTATATTGAGTAGATGAGGCTAACCAGCAATTAGTTTTTCCTCACATCTTTAGCGTACCATGTTTTGCATTTATTCCCTTGTACTTTCAAATTTCTTTGTTTTCTTAACTTTCTGAAAATTTTAAAATCTTTCATGAGTTGTGCACACACTATTACATTAAACCCTCCAATTCTGACATATTTTCTCATAAATTTTCTTCGTCATTTCAGAACAGTCTAGAAATTAAATGTCTTCACAATACAGCAATTTCTGAATTAATGCGTTCAATTCGAGCAAATATGGACACTTTAGTTGACGATGAAGCTATCACAAAGGAGATTGCCACAATGCGATTGGGTGTTTCGCATGCAATTGGCCGATATAAAGTTAAATTTAATCCGGAGAAGATTGACACAATGATTGTTCAGGTTTCTTTATTTAATTTAATTTTTCATAGAAAATATTTGAAAACAAATCGGTTCGGTTTAATATCATTGGGGAATTTTCTAGTTTACTGGCCCTTATAAAAAGTGTAATTTTAAGTCCGAATATTAGCTTAGAATTCGTTTCCGAGATTCGAAATGAACAAATTCTAAGTTATCTAATATTCGGACTGATCTCGTCACACTTGGTTACCTGCTGGCAAACCAGAATTATCGGAGGAGCATTTTTTTCTCATTTTTTTCTAGCGACCAGTAAACTAGAAGTTTACCCGTTCTTGATTTTGAGGTTAAATTTTGAATAGGGGGATCTTTTCTTGTTTAATTTAATTTAACGGGAAATTTGATTTTTTTTCTCTTATTTAAAAATATTTCTAAAATTTTTAAAAAGAAATTTTTTAATTTTGTTCCTTAGGCGGTTTCCTTACTTGATGATTTGGATAAGGAGTTAAACAATTATGTCATGCGTTGTCGTGAATGGTATGGTTGGCACTTTCCTGAACTTGGAAAATTAATTACGGATGCTCAAGCTTATGCTAAGGTTTTTGCTTTATCCTTTTTGAGGGATTTTTCAAATTTTTCTCTTATTCGAAAACCTTAACATTCTTCCCCTTAATTTATGATGAGAGGAATCATGATCGATTGCTTATTAGAGATCGAGATTTCTGAAAAGCCTGGGCCTGTTCTTGGGCTCTGGAGTTTGATTTATTGCCCTGGACTTGATCCTGGGCCTGTAGTCGAGGAAAAACTTAGGAAGGTCAAAAAATGCCTGGGCCTGGACTCTGGGTACAGGAAAAACCCAGGTTTTGTACCAGGCCCAGCTCAATCTCTGCTAGGAATTTTTCAAACACATGAATTAAAAATACACGTTGGAAGTGGCAGAATAAATTTTAAAAACTAGAAAGGGGAAAGTGGAAGAATTGAGGTCTTGGTCCAGGTCCAGCTCGATCTCTATCGTTTATCTACCAAATTTTTAATTCACTATTTTTTAAAATTTTCAGTGTGTTAAAATCATTGGAATGCGTCAAAATGCCCAAACTGCAAAACTTGAAACAGTTTTGCCAACTGAACTCGTTGACCAAGTTCGATCTGAGGCTGAGATTAGTATGGGTACAGACATCACTGAACTTGATTTGGCAAATATTGGCGAGCTTTGTGATCAAATAATTGAATTGGGACAATATAGAGCTCAATTACACGAATATCTTAAAAATCGAATGAGCGCTCTGGCACCAAATTTGACTGTTTTACTTGGGGAATTGGTTGGAGCTAGACTTGTTTCTAAAGCTGGTTTTTTAATTTTTTAGAATTTTTGAAAAAAAATTTTAGGATCACTTATGGCATTAGCAAAATGTCCTGCATCTACTGTTCAAATATTGGGGGCCGAGAAAGCGTTGTTTAGAGCACTTAAAACCAAAAAGGATACACCAAAATATGGAATTATTTATCATGCACAATTAATCACGCAATCGGGACAAAAATCAAAAGGAAAAGTTAGTGAAGAAGTTTTTTTTCTATTTTTGGTTGGGTTCCTAAGTTCTTATTAACGTTTTTGTTGGTTAGATGATCTAAAATTGTCCCCATTTTTGTTTACAATTTACCAAGGGCGTATCAGAGGGCGAGAGCTTCCTCGAAACCGAACACCTGGATATGCCCTTGCAATTTTTATATGGGGTTAGTCATCCAGACAGCAACCACATATAATCTTATAAGGATCTTTGAACTTTTTGGGCTCTTTTACACTACAGGCCCAGGAAATTTTCGGAAAAGAAACGTCTCGGAGTTGACGGAATTTTCAAAGTAATTTTCAGACTTGAGGTATACCCCTCTCTTTTAACGTATTCTTTTTTTCTTCAACATCCCCAAAATATTTGAAATTTTTAAACCTGTTGAAATATTTAAAAAATTTTTTTTTAATTTTTAGATTGCTCGAAAATTGGCTGCTAAGGTTGCTTTGGCTACTCGAATTGACGCTTTGTGCGATGAATCACTTGGAAGTCAACAAGGAATTGAGGCCCGTGCTTATCTCGAGTCAGTCATTAAAACAGAAAATTCTCGAAGTGGGGTGAAAAAACAACGTTATTCGGGGGTACAACATTCTTCAAAGGAGGCGTATACATTTAAAAAGTTGGTTTAAAAAATATTTTTTTGGGATATTTTCTGGATTTTGACTAGGATTGGATATTTCAAACCGTCCGACGTTCGAGTCATTTTTTCGGGTCGGACCGGTCGAGTCTTTCGGGCTTCATTTTTACTGAACCGGTGCACCGAATCTTCTTCGGGCCAAAATTGGCGGTCCGGTTCGATCTTTAGAATCGAACCTGACCTCTAACCCTAATTTTGATGAATAAATCAACAAATTAATTTTTATTTTTAGACAAGTTCATCGTTATGACCCAAAAGTTGACATATCATTAAAATCACAAAAATCAAGTGGAGAAGAAACACCTGTAGAAAAGAAGAAAAAGAAAAATTTTTCTGAATCTTTTGTCGAAGAAGGTGAAGGAAAAAAAGAAGTGAGAACTGAGGGAGAAGAGGGAAAGAAGGTTGAAAAGGAGGTTAAACAAGAAGTTGAGGAAGAAAAAGCTGAAGAAGCAACAACAACCAAATCAAAATCTCAAAAAAGGAAGGAAGCAAAAGCCTTGAAAAAGGCGGAGAAGGCGAAGAAAGCGAAGATAGAACTGGCTGGGGAAGAAGAAGAGAGCGATGATGAGGAAGAGTAAGTTTTTTTTATTTTTTTTTGAAGTTATTTGGTTATGAGTAGGGAGGGTTAGGATTTATATGGACTATCAATCTCGAAAAATATGGACGGAACATTAATTATCGATCAGGGTTGCTCGAAATAAAAATTCGGAGAATTTTTTGTAATTTTTTAAAAATTTCGCTTCGGAACAAAACGAAACGAAAGGGCACGAAAGAGCGAAACGAAATTTCGAGCAGTCCTGTTATGAATTAAAAAAGACCTTATCAAGATATGCTTAAAACTACGACATTTTTGTACGTTTCAGAACCCCCATGATCCCAAGAAAAAATATGGAAATCCATATAAATCCGACCCCAAGTTATGAGTTTAAAATTGTTATTTCGTTGTTGTCCTTTGTTAACTTGTTCAACACAATTTATATTTTTCAATCCTAATTGTTACAAATAAATTATTTTTGAAAAAAATTTTTCAGAAAATTTTTTAAATTAAAATAGGGAGAAATAATTTTTAAAAATTTTGTGTTTTTCATGTAAATCTGTCAACATTTACTTATATAATTCAAGCAAAAGCAAAACCCTCGGAACATTCTCTACAGGCCAACAATAACATTTTTTGAAGTGTCTCATAGTTGGGATATTCGGGTAAATCCAATTGATTAAAACACGTGTGCGCTGAAGGAAGACGGTCTTGGGAACGGGTGTCTTTTTGAATTCTTAAAGAGAAAATTGAAAGAAAAGGAAAAGCAAGGCTTACGTAAATTTCTGAGTCCCATTCATTCCTTCCAAATGAGCAAATCCTTGAAGAGGTACTTTTGATGTTCCAGTGACAAATTGAAGAAATTTGGCTTTGTCTTCTTGGTCAAATGAGCGTAAGGCTCGCCAAAACCTGAAAATAAAAATTTAAAAAAATAAAAAAAATTTGTAAAAACCATTGAATTTGTTGACTTGTTCTAGTATAATTTTTATATTCAGTATTTACACACAAATCATCTACATCAATTTCAGGAAGTCCAGAAATTAACAATTCTAATTCTTGTTCATTAAATATAGAAATAAGATTCCGGGGAATTAATTCATAAAATCCTTCCAAAAAGGCATTAAGTTGTTGACGAATAGAACCTTTAAAATGTAAATTTGTTAGAATAATTTAGAATACCTATTTTATAAAAAATAATTAGGATTGGGGTTTTCGAGTCGGGCCGACGTTCCGGCCGGCCCGACCGAGTCTTTTTCGAGACAAAATTCAATGCCCGATTCGATCTTTCGGACCGGGCCCCCAACCCTATTTATAATGGTTAAAAACCAGAAAATCTTAGGTAGGGTTAGACCTCTTGTTTAACAAACAAAAAATTCAGATCTGGACTCAAGGAATTTTTAGAATTCCTACCAGTTCCCGATTCCCAGAACCTCAATCCAAATTTTTCTATATCCCAAGGGTTCGGTCTAACCACAAACAAAAATATCAGAAAAACAAGAAAATTTTAAAGTGACCTGTCATTTTCATTTGACACATTAAATGAACATATTCTTGTTTATTAGCATCTGTCACCAAAAGTTTAGAACCATTATCTTTAAGTTGACGTGACGAACGAACTCCAAATTCTTCAACTTCTACACAAAACATTAAATCATACCCCAAAGCTTCAATAGAATTATTTAAAAGAAATTCTAAGGATTTGAAGATTTCGGGGTCTTCACTTTCAATGTCCTGATATTTAACTGAAAAGAAAATACTTTTTATAAAATTAATACCAAAAAATTTATAAAGTTGGTAGTAGGGTTAAACCAAAATCTTATCCAATGACACTGAACAGGCAGGCCCGTAGCAGGATTTTTTCGGTGGTGGACCAAAAAATTAGACCAAAAATTAGGCCAAAAAATTCACTTTTTTGCCCAATCCCTCCCCAAATTTTTCCCATCTAGGGTAGGGGAGAATTTTAGAAGGCCATAGGGAATTCCCCTTGCTACAGGCCTCTGAACAGGACGAAGAAGGAAAAATTTTTGTGGGCCTTCACAGACGATAAAAAATCAGTTGAATATGTGTCACGCTTAAAAATATAAAAAACTAGCAAACAATTTTCCCTCTCAATTCAGATAGTGGAAGATGAGGAACGTCACCAGTTCCTTCATAAAAATTCTCATCAGAGAAAAAAAATTTTGGCATGGAAAATCATCCAAATTTTTAAAAATTTAATTATATGTAGAAATAAAAACAAAATTCAAACCGTGAATATTCAAAATATGTTTGTAGAAAGCTCTTGTAAAATAACAATCCAATTGTTTATTGTCATATATTGCTTTAGCAATTAAACGTCCAACAAACTTTAAAAAATTAAGAAAAAAATTTTTTTTAATTTAAAAAAACTTTAAAATAGTCCAAATGTTCAGGATTAACATAAGAAGATTTATTAATCATATAAGTCACTCTATCGCCTGGAGCATTAATAAACAAAGCATAATTTGGATTAAAAATTTCACGAGTTATAACTTGATACCATTCACGCAATAAACCACCTTAAAAAAATTTTTTAGAGGTTATTCAAAAGATGCTTAAATAAAGAAATATGCGAGAGAATAGAGAAGAAATTATAAATTATTTTTTAAGAAAGTGAAGTAAAAACTTATTGGGAGAGGTCTTTACAAGAATAGGAAAACCAAGAAAATAAATATATGGTTGTTGGTTTAGGGTCCTAAGCTGGGAAAAATTTCAGAATGAACGGGGAGGGGGGGGGGGCGCAGCCGGAAAAATTTTAAAAGGGGGGGGACAAGGGTAAAATCACTTTCGGCCTATATTTTTGGTGGCGAAGGCGACAAAAATTTTATTGTTGAACCACAGGCGAATTTGAAAACTTTGGAGGGCCTTAGGCCAAAAAATTCACCTTCTCCAAAATTTTTTCCTTTTCCCCAATTTCAGGGGATTACGGGGGACATTTCTGAAATATCACATTCGGGGGATATTCCAGTCCCACAGGGAAAAGGCACAAATCAGAAAGAGACCAAAGTATTTTTAACCTACTACAAATCGAGTAGGTTAAAAAATATTTGGTAAATACTTGAATTTTGTGATTAGAAAATTCAAAAAAAATTCTATAATAAAAATCACAAAAAAAATTCCTCACCAGCGTCTTGCCCTTCTTCCCCTTCAAACATTATATAAAAACGAGAACGCCAATCAGAATTTCGTAAGCGATGTAATTCCCGAAAACTGTCCCCAAAAATATGGCTTCTACGGACACGTATAGCAATATCTTCTGCTCGGTAACTTTAAAAAATTTTGGTAAAATTAGACAAAAAATTAAAAATAAAAACCGATTTCTGTCCCGACTGTCAACTTTTTTGAGTTCTTTATGAAAATATTTTCGTTTAACGTCAAAATCCAATAATTTGGGAAAATGTGTAAGAATTGCAAAAGCATTGCTTTCCAAACTTTGATTATTTCCTCGAAGAATCTGATTCAAAACTGAACGATGCTTTTCTAGAAAAATAATATTGATTTTTGAATTAAAAAAATTCTAAATTGAAAAAACAAAAAAAAATTCTGAATATATACGACAATCAGGCACGTACCCAGGGGGTAGGGCGCTAAAGAAAAAAAAAAGAAAACTGGCTCTTTATCTTCCAAAATTTTCCTACGACATTAAAAATCAAAATTTTTGGCGCCTTCAGCGCAGAAAAATTTCCCGCTTGGACCCTCCCCCAAAAAAATCCTGGCTACGGTCAAAAATATAAAATTACCGCGCCAAAAAAGTGAATTTTGAGAAATGTAAAAATTCGGAGAATTATAAGACGCCAAAAATTACGCATTATTCCTTCTATTTGATCTTGAAAAGGGTAAGGCTTCGAAATAAAAAATATATTATTCTACCATCGAAATCAGGCCAGTAAAAAGAAAAAATGGGGGGGGGGGGGGACTGAGTGGGAAAAATATTTACAGCAACGAATTTTTGCCGCCGAAGGCGAAAATTTTGAGAATTTTGGAAGAAATTCCAAATTTTTTCCCTTTTCTATTTTTCGCCATTTCGAGGGGGGATTTCCCCTTTGTTAAGGGCCTGAACGAAAAGTTTCCCAGAAAATTTCCTCAAAACAGAAAAGAATGACCACAAATCACGCAACATCAAAAATATCGAAAAAAATTTTCTGTAAATAAAAAAAACCTGCAAACGCAAACATTTCCTTTTGATAAGAATTAGCATCATTTAAATTTACTGTCGATGACGGTTGTGAATCAGGCGAATTAACTGAAGTAGATTGTGGTTGAGTTAAACTTTGTAAATTATCAACAGTAGAAGTTGTTGTAGTTTGTTCTTTTGTAGAAGTTGATTTTGGTGATTGAGGAAAGAACATTGAATAACAGAGAAAGAACGCCTCCGCGGCTTTAAAAATAAAATTAAAACTCGCTTGGGAACGAATTATAAGCCAAGAGGGAACCCTTAAAAAATTTTCCTAGCTACTAATCTGCCCAATTGTATAAACGTACTAAAATAAGAAGAAAAACGAGCTATTGGGAGACGCCTTAAAGAAATCCTGCGTCCTTATTTTAGTTTTTAAAATCTTTCAAAGCCTATACTTTTAAAGTGTGTAAACACGCAAATAAGGGCTGAGAGGTTAATTTCACTCTAATTACCCAGCTATCGCTGTTAGGCGTTGCCCCCGGAAGTGAGGAAAAACAATCAAACAGATAAATAATTCGTACTTAAACTAAACCGCAGATAAGGGAGGGAAGGAAATAAGTACCAAAAATATTGGTAATTCCAAGCTTTGTCTTTTTTTTATCAATGTCTCTTGTTTGAATCTATCACAGGGGAATAAGGTAAAAACGGAAAGAGAAAACTGACCATTATGGACATTTTTAAAGAAGAAAAGGGGGGAGGGGAGTACGAAGCTTGGAATTATCAAAAAAATTTTACGAAAAATTTCTAGAAAAAATTAATTAAAAAAAACCATTTTGAAGAGCAAGAATAGCATGATGTGAGTCTGGCATTTTCTCTAATTGAGTTAAACAATCACTTAATTGCCCCCAAAGTGAGCGTAATTCATCCACCATTTTTACTTGTTTTTCAAAATTTGGAGAATTTTGGATTGAAAAATTGGAGTCCTCCGATCTTGTCCCTTCTTCAGCTTTAGCCTCTTTTTCTTTGTTTTCAGCCGTTTTGGGAGCATCGTCTTTACTTGCTGCATTCTTTGCTTGATCCAATTTATTTAAATGAGTGTAGAGGTAATTTGCTGTTTCTAATGAACGCAGTAATTTTTTGGAGGCTGTTTCTAAGTTGGGAAAGTCTTTTATTGAATCCATATCTAAAATAAATTGAAAGTTAAAACAACAAAAAAAGGGTGAAACAGACAAAAGATATTTTTGAAGACTGAAGTGTAGGTTGGTGCCGGACCGGATCCGGCTGAGTTTTTTAAAAAGTCGGGTCCCAAATTCGGGTATTTTGAGATTTCCGGATTTTTCCGGAACGGATTAATCCGGAAAAATCCGGCCGGATCTGGTACGGCTCTAGTTGAATATCCGCAATCTGGATCCGGGTCCGGCAAAATTGATTTTGCCAGCACTAATAAAAAAGGTTGAAAATGGGCAAAAAAATTTTTTGAAGGCAAAAGTCTGTGCACTGAAACGACGTGTGCCTAAACTATCAGAGCCGTTTCAGCATATGCTCAAGTAAGTAAAAACATTTTACGGTAATTTGTTTGAGAGATCTGCTTAAACCTGCTTAAAATTATCTCCCGGTACCCGGTTTTTTACTTGACCGGATTCGGGTCTGCGGTTTGAAATAAACAAATTCTAGGCTTATATTTGAATTCGACTCATTAGATTACCTACGGCCAACCCGCAAAACTACCAATAAGCACATTGCAAATTTTTTTCTAGGGGACAATTAAGCAGAAGATTACCAACCGTTTGCGAGAGAGTTTTTAGACAAATACCTATCTTTTATTAAAGCGTTAATTATTTAACGTCATAAATTGTCATTATACATCATAAATATTTTCTACATCATTTAAGCTTACGCTTAGGTCAAAACAATTTAATAACGTAATTAAAAAATTTTTTTTCTCGATACAAAAATAGAAATTCCATTTTCTAAAAATAATTATTCCACCAAATATACTATTTATCTTTAGCGTAATACAAAAAAGATTTTTAATTCGAAGAATGTCAATTTATTTTTTTATTATTTCATTTGACGTATTTAATTTTAGATTGCTTAAATAAAGAAAAATATCTCTCATAAGCACCACCATTAAACCAAACATAATTTTTCTTATCCTTTTTTTCTCCATTAAAAGGAAGGGATTAGTTAACATATTTTTTACACATATTTTTATACAAAATATTTTTATATAAAACCTTATAAATTTATTTTTAAAATGTTAGTCTACCCGTTTGACTCAACTTTTTGTCACATTTACAGCTAGGGAATAACAACTAAATGTGAATAAAGCTCTCTTGAATAAGTCATCTTTTAATTAAAATATATTTCCTTACCAAACTAGACATAGGGAATCTATCAAAGGGTTAAACACTAAAGTTTGGATTTGCCAATTTTTGGATAAATTCAAAAAAGCGGCCTGCCGTAATCATTGACTGGTCATTTCCGTCTTCCTTCTATTTATGTATTTTTAAGAACACCTTGATTTCTCATTCAAATCCAAGTAGCAGGGATCGCGCTGACAGAAAGCCAACTTCCCGATTTTCGGAAATCGGGAAGTTGAGTCGGGTTGGCGCGATCCCTAATAAGTAGTGGAGGAGTGCCACAAATTCAGGAAGATACACAGAGGAAGATACCACCTAAATCTTTTTAAGTTCAAGAAACATCTTATCAAATATTTTCAATCACAAAAATTAATCAAAATTCCCTTAAATTATTCTTTTGATTTAATAGAATTATTTTTTTATTTCAATCATTTTCTCTTTTATTTTAATATTTTCTTTAAGAATATCCATATTTGTTTAAATATTTTTAAATGACGAGAAATTGCGAAGGAGGAAAGCTTATGACTTTTAAATCCCTTCTCGACCATTTTTACTCCCTCAATAGTATTAAATAAATACAAAATATTATTTACACACTTATGACACGGCTTAATCTTTTATTTTTTTAATAAAAAATTGTTAGGCTTCCTCTTTATTTTCACAGCTTCATCTATTTAATAATTTTGTTTTCTTCTCATTTCCATTAAAACAATAACTCATTCTTTCATTATTCATTTAATTGCCTACGTGACGTCTGGCAAAACAAAAAAATCTTTTTTTGTTCTTTTTACCCAAGACTAGTACACTTTTTAACTCTATCAGAAAAATGTGCGGAAGATGACAAAATCCCTTCCCTTTCATGTTTTTCAAAAATTCCAATTTCGTGTTGCTCTGAATATTTAGACTTTTTATTGGGGTTATTGGCAGCCGGTTATTAACGAGTACTCCAGGTTTTGAATAATTCAGTTCTTAAAGACCCGGTTTTCGAATTTATATTTCAATTATACTATATTGTTTACCCTATCTCAAAATAAGTTAGTAATTAGGTTGCCGTTTTAAGTCGGGCCGACGGTCAAGGCATTTCTTTCGGGCTTGTTTTTATCGAGTCGGGCTGTACGTGTCTTTCTCGGGCCAAATATATTAGACCCGAGTCGATCTTTCGGTCCGAGTCGGTGCAACTCTATTTGAAATATTTAGCGAGAATGATCATTTTTCTTAATAATATTTTCTAATAAAATTAAAAATAATTTTAGAAAATAATCTATAAAAAATTATGTATTCATTTCCACCAACATCTTCAACAGCTACATGGGAAGGAGGATTACCCCCTCAATTCGCCCGTTCCAAAATTCTTTATTCTGACGAATTCTGTAAAATGACAGACGAAATTTTAATCATCAAGAAATTCTTTTTTGGGACATTGAGACCTAAAGTTGTGTTTTTGAAGGATATTCGAGTTGTTTATTTTGATGAACAAACTATTGCTCAACGTAAATATTCACATAGACGAATATGGGGGCGAGCACATGGAAAGTCTATTTATTGGGCTGCTGATTTTAAAAGGTAAAAAAAATCAAAAAATTTTTGGGGATGAGAAGAAATATAGTAAAGCTGCGGGGCTATAGCGGAACCGATTCTCAAACTATTAAGTAAATAAGTTATTAATCTGGAACCGGTAAGAACCGGAACCGTTCGATTTTTTAGAACAGAGACACCACTTTGAGACATCGCTTGATGGGGCTAGGTTCTCAAGGTAGGGTTGGGGTTTTCGAGTTGGCCCAACCGAGTCTTTTTCGGGTCAAAATTCGATGCCCGACTCGATCTTTCAGACCAGCCGGATCGGGCCCTCAACCCTACTCAAGTGTATTTAATGAATTCCACAAAATTTTTAGACTTTACGAAAAAATGTTAAGATAACAGTTTTTGGATTTGATAAATTGTGGGGTATCTCGTGTGGGGGGGGGGTATCTCAATTGTGGGGTATTTCATCTCCTTTATACATACCAAATTTCCGATTTTCGTGAATTCTTTCGGGAATCGTAAGCCGGTTCGGCTGATCCCTAATACATACATAAATTATTCTGCTGTCTTTATTTGATAGACAAATAGAGAATGATTCCCAGCCAAATCTAAGAGATTCGATTAAAAAATCAAATAAAAAGTTTCTCAATTCAGGTGCCTACCAGGAATTGACAAAGCAAATAAGAGCGATGTAATTGTAGATTTGGAGGATGGAATGCTTAAAGGATTTACTGTATCCGATGTTCAGAGCTTTTTAAGTGTTGTTCGTTTATGTGCACCTATATCTACAATTATTGTTGATCATCTAGATTTTGCTTGATTTTTGAAGAAAAAGAGAAACGGGTTTTATTTAAATTGACAACTATTTTGTATATTTTCTCACATATTTTTTATGAATATACTTAAATATTTTAAATATAAAATCAAGATTAAAAGTATGTATAACAAGATTGACCGTTTCCAGCTAGGGTTTGAATGGAATATTATTTTTTCGAAATTTTTTAAAAGTGTAAAGAGTAGCCAACGGGCAGGATTCGAACCTACGACAACGCAGTCAATGCTCGCTAGGCCTTGCTCACACAAATGCAGTTGCTCTACCACTAAGCTGCCGGTTTTAATGCATTAGTTGAATCAACATTACAAAATCAAGTTCTGACATTTGAGCCAGTCTCGGTTCTGTCTCATCCAGCTAGTGTTATCCAGGCTCCCTTGAATCAGACTCGTGGAACCGTCAAAATGTTAGAATCGATACAATTAAAAAAATTAAAAAAATTTTACAATTAAAAAATTTTTTTTTTAAATTTAATATAATATTTTTTCTGAATTTATTAATTTTTAAAATTTGATAAAATAAGGTTTAGTAAAAAGTGCCCATGTAAATGACTAATTTCTAGAATCGTTAATTAAATATGAAACGAAATTTCAGAAAATTATGAAATTTAGCAATTGTAAAATAAAAAATTATAGAAATTTAAATTAGAAATACGGCATTTTCTTTTCTTTACGACATCTAGTTGCAGTGTTGCAACCTCTGTCATATTCATGAGCGTATGGTAAATGATGTTGATTATGGATTTTATCTTCTCCGGTGGCTCCATATGAAATAAATTTATCTTTAAATAAGTAAATTAGACTTTAGTTCATTTTGCTTTCCTACTCAATATCAATGGAAATGATAAAAAAATTTTTGTAAAATTTTTCAAGCAGTTCTAATTGCCTGATAAATACCGTATTTTCTGAAAATATGCCCCCATCAACCTCTAGAAAGGGCTTATTTTAGAGAGAGAGAGGGGGGGGTTAATTTAGAGAAAATACGGTATTAAAGCTGATCCGTTTTTGATCATTATGAGAGGGTAAAAGATATGGAAAGGGCAAACAATCATTTGCGGACGTGAGTGGGGGGGGGTGTCGGAGGGGTAGATAATGAGATAATACCTTTATTAACAACCATATTTGATAAAAAAAACTTGGTAAAAATGGATCTAGTGAACTAACATAGGAAATCTAACCTAGAAAACCAGAAAAGAACTAGGGGATTTAAATTCCTTAATAAACACTTTATTACCTCCACAATATCGTTTATATCTTGCAATTTCATCAAAATTAAATATAATACTAGCAACATAATTAATGTGAATATTTAAAATAATTAGTAAAATATAAAAATTAAATCTCATTTTATTAAAAATAATTTTTTAAAAATTATTTTAAAATTTTCAAGTAATAATTTGGAAAATGGCTGGAATTTATGTCTAATTTTATTTTAAAATAAATTAATAAAAAAAATTTTTTTTAATGTATGAAATCGTCTATTTTAATATAAAATTAATTTTAAAATTTGTATAAACAATTTATGGATTTTAAAATTTTGAAATATTTTTGAATTAATTTTTGGTTCAGAAATTTAATTTTATTAAATACTGACGTAAAATAAAAAAATTATTTTTAGAAATTAAAATTTTTGCAAAAAAATTTGCTTATTGTAAATTAAAATTGATTAAATTGAGGTAAAATATGGAGGTAATTTTTAAAATTAAAATAAAGGGGAGAGAATAAACTAGAAGCAAAATCGAATCTGAGGCACATGTCCTTGCCCATTTTCCATTTCGGTCACTGAATCAGAGATGGGCGAAGATTCTCGACCAGCGCTGATTCAAAGGATATGAGAAGAATTGTCTGGATAAAGGTAGATAGCGATAGAGTTTATTTATAATGTTATAAACATCTCAATTTAATTCTGCTATAATATATCCCTTAAGATCCATACAACCACTCTTAATTCACCTAAATCGACCTATCACATTCCTACATCCTAAATCGGGGTTATCATGGATTATGAAGATCAAGGAGACTATCAATGGATTAGAAGCGATATCAACGTAAATAAGGGCAAATATTTGAATTTCGTAAATTTTTGATGTAACTTGACAATGTACACCTCGCGAATCCTCTTTAACAATTTTGATTTTCTTTATTTCGTTTCGTCTCTTTCGTGAAAATTAAATTTATTGGATGGTTTCCGACAATTCAGAGTTCCGACACATCTTTCAACCCAAAATTGATATCAAAAAATTATTTCAACCCCTCACCTGTATGCATAACTTTAAAAATAATTTTAACTTTCAACTACTTAATTAATTTAATAGGAAATTTGAATTCAATTTGAATTTAATTAATTTTAAAGTTAATCGACTATTAATTTCTTTTAATCTTCTTTAATCCACGATTCGATTATGTATTGGATCTGATCCTTTCCCAACATCTCTACACAAAGAAGATGTTAAGAATAAAAATAAAATTAAAATAAAAAATAATATTTGGTTAAAATTCATAATTTTTGAAGAAAAAATATTTTTTTGGAATTTTTGGAATTTTTTTTAAATTTTTTTCAAATTTATTTTTGTCAAAATTGGTGAATTTTTCTTTACTTAAATAACCGAAAAATTTTTTTGTGAAAATAATAATAACTTTTGTTTATTTGTTTTTTCTTGATTTTCTAAAAATGACAACCAAACAAAAAATAAAATAATAAAAAATTTTTAAATAATAAATAAAAATTTATTTTTAAAACTCATGACAGTCTTTGCAAAGAAGAACAATTAAAAAAATTTTTTTTTCGTTGAAAAGTTGCCAAACTTATTTGAATAAAAACGCTAAAAATAGGACAATGTTTTTTTTTATTTTTGTTTGTTTTTTGGTTTATAAAATTTACATAAATCAGATGACATTTTAATGTTCTGAATTAGATGATAAAAATAATATTTTGACAACCAGCTGCAAAATTTTATTTTTGTTAAAAATGAGAACAATAGGTAGATTATAAAAATATTATCTAAAAATTGGAGCTATATTTTTGTTAAAAACTGATTGTTGCGTGACTTGTGTAAATCTAATCACGTGAATATATTTAAATATTGATGAAAAATAAAATTTTTTTTGATAATAAATTTTAGCAAATGCTTTGAAAATTAGAGTTGGCCGGGATCGGGATCCCGGTCGGGATCGGGCGGGATTATCCCGGGTTTTTCAAATCCCGATCCCGATTTTTCTGATCCCGGTCCCGAAATAAATATCCCGATCCCGATCCCGGCCCATCTCAATCCCGAGCCGGGATCCGGGATCGGGATCGGGATGAGCATCAGATCCCGATGCAAATCCCGACTTTATAAATTGACTAGAAGTCTGTGAATTAAAGCTAACAGAAGGGGGAGGCATGAAATAAAGAAAAATTTTCGCCTGCGGCGCAGAAAAGGAGCAAATTTAAACAAAGCTGTCTTTAAAACTTTGACGAGATATTGCGTGATTTGGTGTGATATCGAGCACTCAAGAGGGGTTGAGGGGAGTATAGGTGGATTTGGAGCATAGAAGGATATCGGTGGATTTAGTGATTAAGTTACGAGGGACATGAATATATCGCTTAATCACTCAATTTCAGTTCTTAATCGTCCACATTTGAACGTAACGCATTTAATCATATAGACTTGAACGTTTAGACTTAAATGCCCTTGGCCTTCCAAGATTAAAAATTATTGCCTGCGACGCTTAAAAGGGAGGAAATCTGGCACCTTGGCCTTCAAAATTTGGAAGGCCAAGGTGGCAAACCTTTCAAGATGTGCAAATTTTTTAAAAATCAAAAGCCCAATTTAATTTATCCCCCCACCCCCATTACCTTATCCCCCCTTAATACCCTGAACCGGAAAGTAATCATGCGTCTATGAGACTTTAACTCAATATTTCAGCACCGCAGTGGAAATTTTAGAATTATATTGAGTCGTTTGTGAAGAAAATAAAAATTTAAAAGTTTTTAAAAATTTTTTTAGTAAATCCCGATCCCGAGTTTTCAATCCCGGTCCCGATCCGGGATCGGGACCGGGATCGGGATCTCCAGTCCAAATCCCGATCCCGATTTCGGCCTATCCCGATCCCGTGTCGGGATCCGGGATCGGGATCGGGATCACCATTCCAAAATCCCGATCCCGGGTTTTTCTCTAAATCCCGATACCGGCCAACTCTATTGAAAATGGAGTTAATATTAGAGTTGTGCGG